TGCGTGCGTGCGTGCGTGCGCGTGCTTGCAACTCTTCATCAGCCCCTCAAACAAGTGAGGCTCGCGAGTCACACCTAGAGCAAATTGGCCGCTGTTAGCCTCCAAGGAACCTCAAGTAATCGGCAACAAGTTGCGCAATGAGATGCATGTCATATACAAGTCCGAGTGCTCGTGATCTCACTATGCTCCGTCTTCGAATAACTCATGCTGCCCTGAAGTCAATCGAGTCTGCAAGATGAGGAGGGCCTCTGCGATTCGTCGCTGACTGTCCCACCGACCCATTTCCTCTTTTATCTGCGCCACGGCGCCGACCTGCAGGCTGGATCTGGCACGTGACCATCGGCACACAGCCTGACTCGATATTGTCAACATCGTAAGTCTGGCCTGCTCCTGAAACCGAAGCTGACCCAAGTGTAGAGAGTCCCTGGCAATGACATTGGTCACATCTGTTCCAGTATTCCAGGGCTTGAATCTCGCCTGCATGACGGATATGCAACGAAGGGTGTCTAAAGTCACGATAAAGTGGGATGAGCACTTCTCTTCTCTCAAACGACAATCACCCCTTTGGCTTCTGGACTTCTGGGACTCGAAGGTGCTAGAAGCAGTGCCGAGTGGTTCCATTGAAATTATCCGAGGATTCGTGCCTGCAGTAGTTCCGTCCCAAGAGCTTAGATGTCGACAACCGACATTGCAAATCAGATCCCTTTGCGCACACCATGTATGCCCTCAATAAAAATGCACTTCCCGATGCCCTTCCGAGATCGAAAGCTCACGAAGTTTTCTGAGAGACTTAACGCAACATGCGGGCATCAGCCTGCTGCACCCGATGAAACCCCATCTATGTCGGGAATATGCTATTCAGCAGCAAGTCCATCTGTGGACATCGATGGATACGGGATCCTTCTTAGCTCTTATATCAGCAGGCATGCCCCTAGAGTATGGAGTTCCTCGTTGGACCGCAAAAGAAGTACTCCTGTTAACATCGATGTCCCCTGACGCGTACCCTGAAGCACATCGTCATTGTGGACACCGGTTGATGCAAAAAACACCCGATGCGAATATCCTCGACACACACACACACATACACACACTTGCATACACTTCCTTCTCTCTGGCTTTCCGTCCCTTTCTCTTGCTTGCTTGCTTGCTTGCTGTTTTGTTCTTGCTCGTGTGACAACCAATATTTGCATCTCACCACATCCCACCCAATCCGGCCGAAAGTTGAAACTCTAGGCAGTCAGCACCATCATCTTTTCTAGCCCGATGCACTGAACACCTCGGCTTGCCGCCACGGTGTCAGACGTCGGCGAGTCATCGTTGCTCTGGTGCGAGTCACTTCCGAGGCGCGATGCGTCCAGTCTGTTCACTAGCTGTGCGTTGCAATCGTGTGCTCGACTGTGGCGGCGACCATGCTTCAATGCAGTCAAACGTGTCAAGCTGTGTCAATTCAGTTCCAGACCTCTGCTCGGATCCTGAGGGTTGAGGTAGACTGCTCTTGAGTGGCAAGCAGCTCGCTGTGCTTGACCACAAACCACACCGGTGCTCACCAACCAGAACTTTCAAAGATCTCGTGACATGTGCTTGTCGGTTTCGGAGCTTCCTGCTTCTCACACGACCATTCTCTGCACATTCAATGCTGTGACTGCACCACCATGGCCCTCCAGGCTGCGCTGAGTTAACCCATTGTGCAAGTCCATGAGATGCAAGCCTCGGAGCCAGGCCGAAGCGGTGCATCTAAAGTTGGCACAGTCCGGGCCCCCCGACTTCCATTGCTCGAGCCGCACAGAGCCTGCAGGCAGGGGCAAGTTCGTTTCATGCGACGACCCATTCTAAGTTGCTTTGGAGTTCGGGGTGTCGACGTGCAGATGAACCCTCACTGTCTGCAATGAACTGAAATCGGCAACAGCATAATCATTCTAGCGAACCTCAACCTCAAAATGGCTTGCCTGCTGCACTTTGAAATCAACTGCCAAAGATCGTACGCGGCCAAATTTGCCTGAGATGTCACTGCCACACCGATACAAGCGTGTGCAGCCCTTTAGGCTACGGAAATGGCGGTCTCTGTCAAGATGCATTCGTGCACTTGTATTTGGGTCTTTTTCTCCAGGTTCCAGGTGATGAGTTGGGCATCCCAGCCAGCCGTGACTGCAGTACCATTGGTCCAATCCACGGCAAGGTCCTGAGGGCTCAAACATGCGGCCACCACGCGGCCAGGCTGCATCTGCACAACTTCTTATTGTACTGCAACGGAACTGCATCCATGCCGCTGCCACAACATCCGCATGTCCTGGCATGTGCACTCCCCTTCCTATGCTGAATTGACCCATTGCTTCGGAAGTTTGACCCTGGCGCCTTGTAGTAAATCTGCTTTGGACGCATTAGGATCGGTCGTTTCACTCTCTGCCTCAAGCAGGCATAGGAAAACCTACAGTACCCATACCGTGCGAGATGTCAGCGTCTAGCTGTCGAAGAAAGGAAGAGGAACATAATCGGGAAGAGCAAACGGGGCCTCATGTATTACATCGTAGAACTGCAATGCCGAACATTCCACTTCCAATAACTTTCTGCGAGGAGCCGCGAAGTTCCACAGCTGCAGATGCTTGGTCGAGCTTCCGGTTCCAGCAAGCAGCTGGGACTTCGTCCAGTTTACTGAGATACACATCAAGCCACCAGCATGTCCGCTGGATGTGTGTACACATGTCCAATCGCGTACATCCCAGATCTTGAAGTTTTCGTCTCCAGCACTGACCAGCCTGTTGCTCTTGAAGTCAGCTTTTAATGCCCAGACACCGCCACGGTGTGCCGGGAAGGTCGTTTGCAGGTCTGCAGTGGTCATGGACCATACTCTCAAGGAGCCGTCCCCGCATCCGGCAAGCGCGCGGCGACCGGTCCAGTCTGCTTCGACTGCCGTGCAACCTTCCGGAACCTCGGTCATCGTCTTTTGGCAACCACCTAGCTTCAGATTCCAAAGTTTTGAGGAGTCATCCGCGCCACTCACGGCTTCAAAGGTTTCCCAGTTGACTGTCAAGGAGTGGACAGTTCCTGTGTGACCTTCCAGAACACGGATACATTTCGTTTCCAACTCCAAATCCCACAACCGCACTGTGCCGTCTTCAGAACCACTCAGAACCATGGCTGAAGCCCTGGCTGGCTCAGCAATTGAAGTCGGTTCAAAGGCAGGGACCGGAAGCGGTGTGGGATCCCAATTGTCGAAAATAGGTGCGGCCGCCGGCTTTCCGACGTCCACATCCACATCTTCGGCCTCCAAGCCATCTGCTTCCTCTTCCTCCGCAGCCCGTTTCTCCTCTTCCTTCTCTTTCGGATACTTCATGTTCTGCGCAGATCTGCACGAGGTCGAGGGAAGGCCTGCATTTGGTGGATGCGGTGCTTCTTCCTCGACTTTCGCTCTTTTCCGGTCGTCTTTGGAATCCTTCTCCTTCTTGCTTTTCTTATCTTTGGCATCTTTGGCCTTCCTCCTGAAACCGCTTCAAGCGCGGCTTGCACAAATACACGCTTCATGCACACCAATCATTGCAGACTCAAGCGTCTTCTCGTCTGATCGCTTATGAGAGTCTGCCTTTTTGCTTGCACCTGCAAAATTCGACATGTGCGGTGTGACACACTCACACACAACAGCTCCGAGGCCTCCGATGTTCTGAGTGGTATCTTCCTGCACAGTATGCTGACAAGTTGCTAATGCTGTGATCGAGAGGCTGCCGCTGTTATGGACAATGCAAACTGTGCTTGAGGACTCACTCACTATCCTGCCAGAGATATCCAGAGACCATGTCACCCCTTCACTTGACAAGTGCGAGTGAGTTTCCCATGCATTGAACTGCTTCTCAGTCTGTTCGTCGCCTTCCGCTGATTCACGCCATTTGCCGTGTGCAGGTGTTCGTCGTGTGAGCCCAACCGTGTTATGGACCCTGATAGAAGTCCTTTGACTTACACCGAGTTCGGGGGTACGACCTCAGTAGGAGAGAACAACCGGTTCAGCATGCGGGTGCAAAGGAACTGCATGCCCAAACATGCAAGGTGGTCAACATCGTAAGTTTTTCTGTTAGGCAGTCGCAGATGTTCCCGCGCATTCTCGTGCTTGCAAACCAGTGGAACCTCCGAATGTCTCAGTGCGAATGCAAGCCCGGACCGCTAACGGATTTCTGCCACTTGCCTCTTCTTGCCCCTTCTTGCCCTGCTTGCTCACCGGACTCGCCCTCCTCTTAATTGCCTGCACCTTTTTGAACACCTGAAGGATGAAGGCCCGGGCTACCTTCCGGCACAGAGGAGGGGGCGGAGAGAGGCAAGGGGGGGGCAGCCTCGGGAAGTGGCACAATTCGTGTTGAGGATCCAGACGACCGCATGCGGCAAGAGTGGCCAGTAGGGCGAATCTAGCTGTTACTGAGCTTTCTCAAGGAACATCAAAACGTTTGACACACGTACGTAACACTTCAGAATTGAAGATCGTGCCCCTTTAAGTGGCGATGTCACCTGATGCCGCAGTGGCGTGTCACACTGAGGTGCTCGCAGGTCGTCGAGGACTTCAGAAAGGGAGAGACTGGGCATGACACGCAAGCCCTGAGAGCTCCGACACAGGACGAGAGTCTGTTTATGTCTAGACTGTTGTCAAGCTGAGGGTGGGAGCAAAGCCAAAGGCACACACTGACACATGAACAGACTTGAAACTTGTAACTAGCGCAGCCCAGTGTCACTTGAGGTTGTACAGTACACGGGCACACTGCAGACAACGGCCTCTTGCCTTTGAGTAAGTGAGTTTGCATCTGCATGCACACGCATGCGCCATCTTGATGCGCACCTTCTTCTGCCCGCGACCGCCTTCTGTAGACTCGGCGGCATGGAGCTGACTAATCTCGGAGGAGAATATGCGCTGAACTTCGTCCTGAGACACCATCGACTCATTGCAGAAGAGCAAAGGGCACAGGACGCGTGTGCCATGGGCAAACCTCACCGCGTCTTAGGGCGCCTTCTGGGTCTCCAGAGCTCCCGGCCCGAGGCCGAGGGATGTTTCCAATGACGCACGAAGTTGGCCTCGGGCAGATGCGGAGCCTTGAAGCTGCTATGTCTGCCCTCGCCCCTGTGTTGGTCGTGTCATGTCTACGATTTGAAGCTTCCACACCACCAATCCACTGACAGGGACCTGGGACATGAAGTGAGTGAGATATGTCCTACCGTGACATACCCTTGCATGCAAGGAGCCTACTGAAGTACTTTTCAAGTCGACTTCTGCCAGCAGCTTCCGCACTTCTGCTCGCATACGATCGGTACTGATGCCAGCCATGGCCGCGCATTCACCGAAGTGCCCACAGAGCACGGGTGTCAAGATTCAACGGGGACTCTCCGAGCCACGAAGCGAAGCGCAAAATGTTCAACAATGAAATTCTAAATGAAAGATCCTTTCTGCATGGTCTGCAATCTCAATCTCTGCATGCTGCTGGAAACATTTCGGGAACGCTGGGTGCATGGTTGACGATGTACGTCAAGCGCAGACACCAGACCCAGCATTTACTGCCAATTTGCGCCAGCAGGGCAGTTCCTTCATGTGCCTCGCCACGGAAGTGTTGAGGTGCTCAACCTTTTCGCAGTTGCTCAAGTCCAACACCGGCAGTTGAACAAACACCACATTCACGCTCCACAGCACCGCAAACAGCACACCATAGTACACCGAGAGCTTCGATAGGACTGGTTAGTCAACATGCTCCTGCCCCGCGAGTCGGAACCGCCCCCTCGCCTTCGTGATCACCAGTCGCTGTGTCTCGAGATGTCTTGACGAGAACGAAAATGCAGGCACCCTCTGTCGTGGCTGTTCGACGTCTCGATATCTCAACTTGATAGTTTGATTAGTTTGCCGATGCTTGTTCAAAGCTTCGATTCGACGTTCCCGAATTACGAAGCCCAGCGCGCGATGTGCTGTGGCGGGGGTACAGGACAGAGCCCTTGCCAAACCATCCTCTCCGCCTCTTCGGCCTTTGCAGCTGTCTTTGGCCGCCTTGCTTCGCCAGCGATCTGGGAAGAAATTGTGACTGCGGCAGAGTCCAACTCCCTGTGCCTGAGATATCATCCTTGCCATCTCCACGACTAGTCCTCTTCCCTCTAAGCGATCCATTCCATGTGGAGGGCACCTTCCCCGAGGCGCTGGAGGAGACTATCGATTCGAATCGATTCTTCGATTTGGGCTGGGCCGACCCACAGAAGCGGGGCTAACATGCGAATCAGTGGAGATGGAAGCGACACCACGGAGGAAGCCGAATCCAAAGCCAGATACGGCCGACACCCAAGCGTGCGTGGCTGCTCGATTTCACAGACCTTCAGGGCTCTCGGTGACGACTAGACTCCATGACGAAGAAGACCCTGACTTGGACTGCACTGCGCTCCGATGCGCTCCGTGGCGAAGTCTTTTCCGAAGTGGACTGGGAAAAGCTCGGCTCTCAACGCCAAATGCGAAGCTGGCATGGCTGGCGGCTGGTGAATGTCACACGGACAGAAAAACACTCGGCACCGCCTCAGATCCCAGAACCGTCATCTTCTGGACAGTCGGCTCCAGAAGCTCCTGCCCAGTCAAGTAGCGGCTTCGGAAAAGCTCAAAGCCACGGACAGAAAAGAGTAGGACTTTGGTCTCTATTGAAACAAGTCTCGGCTGCGGACTGGTGGATCAGATTTCTCAACTGTTTCTACATGCTATGACCGCCAGGAACGGCTGTGAACAGGGCTTCTCCATAGAAACTCGATCAATCTGAGATGGTGAATCATGGTGGATTTTCGGGCGGTCATAATGTCATAGAATCACAAGAAGTCGCAGTGATGCTGCGAGAGGTGCTGAACTCCAACATTCTGCTGGTCGCTGCATGTGGCGCGGGTTCCTCAGGTTGGGGCCATGGGGTCAGGCCGGCGGCCTTTCGCAGGCAAGCCGGGCCGCCTGGATCGAATCTCGCATGGCACGTCTCCAAATCATGGTCTGCGTGGGCTAGCGGGCCAGGATGCAGGATGGGACACTGCATCAGCCATCGTTCCAGCGTGCGGCAGTTTCTGCCAAGTCTGAGACGACGCGTGTACCAAGCCTTCCGCCGACTACCAATGAGATCAGATCTTCCAACAGCTCCTCGTTCCCCAAGATGTCGACATGATCTCCCGAGCTGGGTCCGCCACGCAGGCTTCCGGACATTACACCTTTGGGCCCAGGCTTGTCTTTGTACTCTCGCACTGTGCATGGTATCCTTGCAGGGTTCCTCGCTTCGTTTCTCCAGCCCTTTGTGCACATGAACCCCAATGAAAGAACAGGGCAGGAGTAGTCACCGTCTCCAAGCAAGAAGCCTGCATTCGGCGCGTGAGCCTCCCTATCAATACCGTATTTAGGACGTTGGACATCATCACCAGATGCTTCCAAAGCTCCCGTGTACTCGGTAGAGACTCCCACACCGTATAATGCATACATCTTCATCTGAGGCGCAAAGGGCAGGACGGTTGCCAGCGCATTGCCCCAGGTTGTGTCTTTTCTCTGGTGTTCTGCCCGTGCTTCAATCGGTGTTGAAGCACGAATTCCCTGCAAGAGCCAGGCCTCAATCCGCTGCAAATCCCGTGGAACGTGCCCAGCACTGGCAAGCAAATCATATGCTTCTTCAACCGTTAGGTTCTTGCCCTGTACTTGCACCAATGGCATGCCCGTGACCTGCTGCCCCCAGACTGCATTTCCACCAATCGGCATGATCATCGATAAGGATGAGCAGCTTCTCCAAAGACTCCGACGCGTCTTGCTACCAAAGTAATGGTTGACAACAGCACTGAAGGTGCCCATGGTAGCAAAGTCTCTGTTGTCACCTGTAAGGAGCGAGAAGTACGCTTTTGGCAGGCCCAGCAGTGGAGATGAAATCAGGATTACCGAGTGAACATGATTGTGCACCCAGTTGGGATGTACGTTATGCGTGACCCATTGCATGAAGTAGTGAAACAGGTTTCCTCCCATAGAGTGCGCCACAATCGCTGCCTTCTCGCGGTTCATCTTGACGAGGGTTTCGATCTGCTGCATCAGCTTGGTGAAGTACCAATCTCTCCGCTCCATGTCTTCGAAGGACAAACGCCAATCATAAGAAGCCATGTACATTGAGTTTTGGTCATATCCAACATCTGCAAGAGATTCAATCATGAGACCCCACAGCCAGTATCCGCCAATGAAGAAGTCAGCACTCTCAAAGCCCTGAGATGGGCGAACACGGATCGTGCGGTTAAAGTGCGGCTGCTGCAGTGGATCGAGGCCAGTAGTTGTGTTGAGGGACATGTGCCGAACCCAGCAGTCTGGATCACGGACCATAGCTTGCAGCATGGTCGTGGTGCCCCAAATCCTCTGCCTGAAATAATTCTTGATGCAGTCCTCTCCATCCCAAAGTTCCAAGCCAGTCGTGATGATCCCAGGAACCATTATGACGGGATGCTTGGCAACTTTGCCTTCACGGGCCATTCGGATGCCAACGCGCTCACTCTTGCCCAAGACTTGGCTGATGGCAGGCACCTGTGCGATTGTCGGCCAGCGGATTGTGCACTCCGTTTAGTTGTGGATTCCAGCTCTTGGATGTTATAGACCAGTACTATTATGCCATCTTAGATCCACGAACAGTGCAAGAGCACCACGACGACCATGACGACCACGAGAAGAGCACGAGGAGACCACCAGGAGACGGAGCATGGCACATCTTCTCCCGATATACTGGCGGGATTCAGGAGGAAATCCTTTCGCCCATGTACTTACTGCTGCGATTCAAGGTTTCCGAGGCCAAGAATGGCCAAGAAGTGGTCCATGTGCTGGAGATTACAATACGTCTCTAGCGGACACCGCGCCACTCCGGGAGCCGTGCAACGGGAACGGATAGTCCCATACGAGTAGTCTGTACCAAACTGTTTGGGGAACTGATTCCTCGGAGTGTGAGAGACATTGAGAGACGGCAGCCCAGCCTGCCAGTCAGGAAGGTAGTCCTTGACTCCCAGGGACGTGCGATTCTTGACGATGTCGGTGAAGCCTTTGCAACACTCGTGCCACGGCAAGCATGAAGCACATCTGTGGCTCTGACATGCTGACACAGCTGCCCAATGTTGCGTTCGAAAGTGCTTGAAGATCGAGTACTTCCTTCCACAAGTCACAAGTTCATGACATGATTGCCGGCGCATGGTTCTGTCATGTTCTGTCCTTCATCCGCGAAGTCGTGCGGAGCAGGCTGTCAACTGTGTCCTCGAAGGGTGCAGGGTTGACAGCCGATATGCACATTGCCACATGAGATGAAGCAATAGGAACTTGCTTGGCTTCTGCACGGTTTAGAAGTCAAAGGTTCAAACAAAAACAAACGTCGCGGCAGATGTACCAAGCTGCTGATGACATCATCTCCTTAGCAGTGCTGAGTGCTTGCAGACGAGCACATTAAAGGCAGCATGTACACCGAACTAATCGCAGTGAGAGCTTCATCAAAGGCCCTGAAGAAAGTGTTGCTAGCGACTCTTGCTCGCTCGCGGAGGGGATCCGGCAACTGCTCCGGCCTTGTCACATGCTGCGGTCTCTCGAACTGCCGTGACCCGGCGACTGTCTGAGATGAGAACCTCAAATAGCCGTAGTAGGACAGCGAGCACCCGAAGCCAAGAGCAAAGATGGCGGGATAGGACAGCGAGATTGATAGAAGTGGCCTCTCCGCACAGTGTGTTGAACAGACACCTGACGATCACCTCGCGCCTCCGCAGATAGGCCGAAACGACAAGGTTGGACAGGAAGCCTCCTGAGACTCCGTTCAAATCACCAAAGTCACTGGCTATGGTGCCGGCTGTGCAACATCTTCGAACTTGGCTCAAACTTGGCATGTGGCACATTGGCCAAACGTGGTGTCCAGTGTACATCGTTGTACATGTACCTGACTACCCACACCACCACAATCGATCACAATACCTGCCAGGTTGTCTGCAAGGGATGGCTTATAACATCTTATAACATCGAAGTTGGCTGGGACCTTGATGAATGAAAATCGAGTGCCACAGTCCAGACCATAGGACCACAGCTAAGCTTCCACACGGCCAACACACAAATGCATAAACAGCCGGGTGTTCAAGAATCCCTTTCGTGAGCAACGCTCAGTAACCTAGCACACGCCTTGAATCCTTTGGGAAGTGCTTGGCACGAAAATCATCAGTCCAATGGCATCTGCAAAGATGGCAAGTTCAGGAGTCAGTCGTAAGTCAATTTCCAGTTCTGCACAAGAGTCGCTCGGCTCGATCTGCATCGGCGCCGAGCGCATCCTGAGATTTTTGGCGAGTGCTCCTGAAGCTTTGCACATCGAATCTTACTCACGTTCCTCAAGGATGACTTGGCCAACAAGCATGCCCCGTGCGAGCTGCCGTGATCTTTGGCAGCAGAGCCCTCTGCTCCCGTCCTGGAGCCCGCTGATCTCTCACCACGCAATCTGATCCCCTCCTTCTCATGGTCGGCCATGAGACGCGCGCGCGGGGCGCGCCGGACGGTGTGCAGGAGGCATCTCTTGACAGCTGAATTGAACTGCGCAGGGAACTTGCATGTCTTCTGATGATCATGCTCCACATGAAGCATCCAATCATGCCATAGTCATGCTCCTCTGACTCAGGCTGTCCGGGACGAAAAAACTTGACTACGTATTGGTCATGTCCGGTGCAGATTGGTCTCCGTGACTGCTGCTCGCAGCCGCGTCTCCATGTGGGCCTTAGACTAATTCTCGGCGTTCCGGTACTGCCAGCAATCTCTCAACACTCATGTGGATGGCCAAAGTGCTCCAAGCAAGTCTGTCTGGACACTGGGCTGTGTGCAATCTGCAGCTCCATAGTGCCCTGCAGCCACACACAACAAGACAACCAGGGAGGTCGACACGGTCTGTCAAGGCACGCCTGGAAGACTGAATGCCGTGTCTGAACAGCGTGTGTATGCAGACTGTTTCCTAAATTGTGTGGCACTTTGCACTTCTGCCACCTTCCAACGATTAAAAACAACAGGCCCCAGCAGCAACAGTGCAATCACTGTACAAGAAATGATTGGATAAGAAATGCTCCAACTACATCAGCCGGATAGCACCAAAAAGCCGAAAATTAAAACCGCCTCCCAGCCAAGAAACGAAGGGCACCCAACATTTTGGGATAATTGCTTATTTGGATGGGTGGTTCGTGTATTGATTCGGGTGCTCCCAAGCCTGGAAAAACCCTAGAATCAGAAATGTAGGGGGCTACGTTTCTTATTTCGGGTGGTTTCAAGCCCTCAGCCTAAGGCACAGAAGCCAAAACAAGAAATTAAAGGTGTTACGTTTCTTGTTTTGGTGGTTTGCGGGCCGTGAGCCTTGGTGACTTACGAACGTTTAAGGCCAATGCCATAGTACCTAGACTTGCAGGGGCTCGAGCCCCGGAGAAGAAATGAAGGGGCCCTACAGAATATGGAAATGCGAAACTGAAAGGAAGTTAAGAAATGAAGGGCGCCCAACGCTGGGAGCTGGCACTTCTTATCCAGCAGATGCACTGTA